AAAAAATTATATAGCTATATGAAATTTATTCTAACTGTATTTTAAAATTAATATATATATATTTATATCAAAATACACTTAGAATGAATTTGTATATATATCTATATATATATAAAAATAAATAAAAATAATACGAAATATACATATGTCCATATACAAAATTACATAAATAATTATATAAATATACACGTAGACTTCAAATATATAAATATGCACATATATTTAAATTCTACGTGCGTATTTATGTAATATTTTTACATAATTCAGTAATTTTATTGATTGCAATTTGAGGGACCTGCCTGCCAACCCAGGCCGAAATTCCAGAGAATTTAATTTGCTAGCACTGTATTTTACCCTGTAACGTTCTACGACACCCTAAAACCTGTACATGGGGGGTACTGTTTTACTGGGGAGACTTCGCTGAACACAAATATTAGTGATTCAAAACAGTAAAACATATCACAGTGATGATATTGTCAGTGAAAGTTACTTTTTTTGCATTTTTCACACACAAACAGCACTTTTACTGATGATATAATTGTTGTGATACGTTTTCCAGTTTTTAAACACTAATATTTGTGTTCAGCGATGTCTCCCGAGCAAAACAGTACCCCCCATGTACAGGTTTTATAGCATTTTTGAAAGTTACAAGGTCAAATATATGGGTCAAATATTTTTACATTGAAAATGGCCAGGTTGGTTACGTTGCCTTTGAGAGCGTATGGTAGCCCAGGAATGAGAATTACCCCCAAGATGGCATACCATTTGCAAAAGAAGACAACCCAAGGTATTGCAAATGGGGTATGTCCAGTCTTTTTTAGTAACCACTTGGTCACAAACACTGGCCAAAATTAGCGTTCAATTTAGTTTTTTTACTTTTTCACACACAAACAAATATGAATGCTTACTTTGGCCAGTGTTTTCGACTAAGTGGCTACTAAAAAAGACTGGACATACCCCATATTGAATACCCTGGGTTGTCTACTTTAAAAAAAATATGTACATGTGGGGTGTTATTCAGAGATTTATGACAGATAATAGTGTTACAATGTCACTATTGATAAATTTTAAAAATGTATGTTTTGAAACCGCAATATCCTACTTGTACCTATAGCCCTATAACATGCAAAAAAAAGCAAAAAAGCACGTAAACACTGGGTATTTTTAAACTCAGGACAAAATTTTGAATCTATTTAGCAGTTTTTTTCATTCGCTTTTGTAGATGAGTAAAAGATTTTTCAAGTAAAAGTCAAAAAACATGTATTTTTTCAATTTTTCATCAGATTTTTTTATTTTTTTTAAATTAAAATACATGAGATTATATAAATAATGGTATGTAAAGAAAGCCCCTTTTGTCCTGAAAAAAACAATATATAATTTGTATGGGAACAGTAAATGAGAAAGCTGAAAATTACAGCCAAACACAAACACCACAAAAGTGTAAAAATATGCCTGGTCGCAAATGTACAACATCGCAAAAACAGTCCAGTCCTTAAGGGGTTAAATATCTCCTGTAGAGAATAATAGGTGACAATAAATGCTAGTTACTGACTTCTATGGTAGTTGCTAAATTCTACCAGCTGTCACTTTCAATCCAAATTTAATATCTGCTTCTGTTTGGTGTAAAAAAAAAATGTCAGGATAACATCTGCAAAATCTACTTACATCCTATGAAAAGAATAGATCAACTCACTCAAAGAGAGCCACCTGCTTTCTCTATGACCACATAATTAAAGGGACACTATAGTCACCAGAACAACTACAGCTTATTGAATTTGTTCTGGTGAGTAGAATCATTCACTTCAGGCTTTTTGCTGTAAACACTGTCTTTTTAGAGAAAATGCAGTGTTTACATTACAGCCTAGTGATAACTTCACTGGCCACTCCTTAGGTGGCTGCTAGAGCTGATTCCTATCTCAGTCTTGCCTAGTGTGCATCACAACATATCAGTCTCTCCTCCCTCTGCATGCAGAAACTGAACTTCCCTCATAGAGATTCATTGATTCAATTCATCTTTATGAGGAGATGCTGATTGGCCAGGGCTGTGTTTGAATCATGCTGGCTCTGCCCCTGATCTGCTTCCTTCACAGTCTCAGTAAATTAGAATATTGTGAAAAGGTGCAATATTCTAGACTTACAGTGTCCCACTCTAATTATCTAAGTAAGCCGTAACACCTGCAAAGGGTTTCTGAGCCTTTAAATGGTCTCTCATTCTGGTTCAGTAGGAATCACAATCATGGGGAAGACTGCTGACTTAACAGTTGTGCAGAAAACCATCATTGACATTCTCCATAAGGAGGGAAAGCCTTAAAAGCTAATTGCGAAGGAAGTTGGATGTTCCCAAAGTGCTGTATCAAAGCAAGTTTTGTGGAAGGGAAAAGTGTTGAAGAAAAAGGTGCACAAGCAGCAGGGATGACCACAGCCTGGAGAGGATTGTCAGGAAAAGGCCATTCAAAAGTGTTGGGAACTTTCACAAGTAGTGGACTGAGATTGTGGCTGGAGTCAGTGCATCAAGAGCCACCACACACAGACGGATCCTGGACATGGGCTTCTGATGTAGTATTCCTCTTGTCAAGCCGCTCCTGAACAACAAACAACGTCAAAAGCGTCTTACCTTGGCTAAAGAAAAACAGACCCGGTCTGTTCCTCAGTGGTCCAAAGTCAAGAGAAACAGGAAGGCCTGACATGGATGGAGCTTTTTGATGCCAAATTCAACATAATTTGCCAAGCGTTCTTGCTCTGCATTCAAAATCAACCTTGAATCATCCTTGCGGTGGCTGTACTGCCAATGAGGCCCGCTGCCCAAGCTTCCGGCTCTCCTTTTGGGATGAGGGCACAATCTGAGCTTCATCCAACCCACCATACATCTTCCTGAAGGGCTCTCCATGATCCGGGGTACCTGAGGGCCCACTGCCAGTCAGTGGAAAAAGATCGTTGGACAGAGGAGAACGGCTCCTGTTAAGGCCTGTGCTCGGGGAGGTGTGGGGCCGCAACGCATGGATTGTGTTCTACATACCACCATAAATCTCCATCACTGTTTCAGCTACCCAAGGGAGACCAAGGTGAAATTGGACCTGGTAAATAAACTGCCTGTCTGTTGTCACCAACTACCAGTGTTAGGTGAATCCTAGCTGAGACATTAATGCCCATTACATATGCACTGTGAAGATCTCATCTGTTTTATTCGTTGTTTTATTCTTATTTGTTTTAGGTTGCATATCTTTGTTGTTCTTCATACCCAGTGGTACCAAAATACCATAGAATACTTTTTGATTATTGCTACTCATGCCTACTCTGCCTTATATGCATGTCAGTTTTATTAGTGTTGATGACGGCTTTTCTATCACTATCTGGAAAACATTAGTTCTTTAGTATTCTACCTCCGATTTCCTCATGGTATTTTGTTACCATCACATATCTGGCGATATAACTACCGAACATTACGATTCTTTGACCCCGAACCCGAGCCCGGACATTTCAGTAACAGTTCGGGTTCGAGTTCGGTGATTTAATGGTGAATTAATGATTAAATTTTTTTTAACCGTGCCCCCCTCCCGAGCCCCCTCTCGTGACATGCAAGTGGGAGCTTTTAATCTAAAGGGAGGACCTATTGCCCCCCCCTGCCCCCACCCCCGAGTGGTGTGGGGGGCCTAATGTCCTCTCCCCTGGCCCCCACCCCTGAGCGGTGGCCCTAAATAAAAATTGGGGGGACCTAATGTCCTCCCCAATGGTCCTCACCCCTGAGCGGTGGGTGGGGGCCCTAAATAGCAATTCGAGGGGGGACCTAATGTCCTCCCCCCTGGCCCCCACTCCTGAGCAGTGGGTGGGGGCCCTAAATAGCAATTAGTGTGGGAGACCTAATGTCCTCTCCCCTGGCCCCCACCCCTGAGCGGTGGGTGGGAGCCCTAAATTAGAATAAGGGGGGACCTAATGTCCTCCCCCCTGGCCCCCACCCCTGAGCGGTGGTTGGGGCCCTAAATACCAGTAGAAGGAGGGGACCTATTGTCCTCCCCCTGGCCCCCACCCCTGAGCGGCGGGTGGGGGCCCTAAATAAAAATGTAACCCCCCCACACAGGTGACTAGGGGTCCCCAAACTCCTAGTCACCGCCCCCCAAAAAATTAACCCCTACCTACCCCCCTTACCCTAAAAATAATGAGGGGGGCCTTTAACTAAGTATCTGTAAAAATAAAACTTACCATTTGATGTTAACTTTCTTCTAAAATCTTGCCCCCCCAATTAGGTCCCCCCCAATTGATATTTAGGGCCCCACCCACCGCTCAGGGGTGGGGGCTAGGGGGAGGACATTAGGTTCCCCCCCCTAATTTTTATTTAGGGCCCCACCCACCGCTCAGGGGTGGGAGCCAGGGGGGAGGACATTAGGTCCCCTACAATTTTTATTTAGGGCCCCCACCCACCCCTAGTGTAGGTCCTGCTTGCTTTTAATTCTCTAAAAATGTGCTGTTACTGCATTTGTCATACAAATCTTGTACTATGTTTGTACTGCTTATAAACTTTGTTGTGACATGGTGAGCTTAACTGTATTTATTTGCAAAGCAAAAATAAATATATATATATATTTTTAATGGGAGCCAAGAGATGGCCACTATCCAGGCCCCTTAAATTGTCCAAAAGTCATCCAAAAATGCCCAGTCTTCTGCTCCAAAGGCAAACCTCAATGAGTTAATATGAAAGGGGAAGAAGAGATACCCACTCCTCTGCCCCCTTACTTTGGCCAAATGGGACCATTTAGGCAATTTAGGGGGTTGGAAAATGGACATTTACTGACTCCCAAACTTACATTTTCCTTCCATCCTCAGCCCATATGGTGAGTGAAAAAGTATGGATCAACCATTGTACACCTACTTATTCTCATTGAGGTTCTTAATTTTCGAATTAATATTTTTTTTAGGTAGATTAATGTGCCGTCTGTTACGGAGAGGAGAGCACCGAATCAGCTGATTACATGTCAATAGGAAAAATCCGAAACAAGAGACAAGATTGGCACATCTGATAAGAAGTCATAGAGAAGAGCATAAAAATAGCATATTATTAACTAGGATTGTAATTTCTTCCTGTTATCATGAAATAGTGTTTGTCATCATCTATGAAGTTTGGTGAGTTGAGTTTAAATGACATATGTGACATGTCATGATTCCCTTTTATTCCAGAGGTTTGGTCCTAAAGGGGTTAAAGGGACCCTCTAAGCACCAGAACTACTAATTTAATGTATTGGTTCTATGGTATAAAACCTGTTTCTGCAGTCTAGGTAATGGAAACACTTCCTTTTCTGAGAATAGGCAGAGCCGACACTGCTGGATAATGCCACCTATGGTGACAGTTACTTGAGCAGCCATTAGTGGGGCTTCCCGGTTAAGGAACACAGGTTTGTATACCTAACTTTAGAGTGTGCCTTTAAGTTATCTTTTTTATCTTACACGACAAAGAGAAAAAGGCCAATTTGCATATAATCCTTAATATATATATAATGCGATAGAAAACACTTAGGTAACAGACTTTGTTACTCATTAGCAAGCATGTCTCTTACAAACAATTATGGGTAAATTACTAACATTTCTACCTGCACTTAGCAAATGATAGCTCAGTGAATTACTCTTTATGGGTATTTTACGGTTTTCCAAATGTGGACTTGGTTTTGTGCCGGTTTGCTAAATCTTTCTTTATTCCCTAGGCATGGATTATCCCTAATATCACAGCCTTAGAACAATTGTTAAAGAGACCTACAATATCTTTATCAAGCAGTACCTGATTGAAAAGAAAATCAAATACAATTAACACTCAT